AGGAATCTCTGATACACCAGCCAACCAGGGAGAATCTCTGATACACCAGCCAACCAGGGAGGAATCTCTGATATACCAGCCAACCAGGGAGGAATCTCTGATACACCAGCCAACCAGGGAGAATCTCTGATACACCAGCCAACCAGGGAGGAATCTCTGATACACCAGCCAACCAGGGAGGAATCTCTGATATACCAGCCAACCAGGGAGGAATCTCTGATACACCAGCCAACCAGGGAGAATCTCTGATACACCAGCCAACCAGGGAGGAATCTCTGATACACCAGCCAACCAGGGAGAATCTCTGATACACCAGCCAACCAGGGAGGAATCTCTGATACACCAGCCAACCAGGGAGGAATCTCTGATACACCAGCCAACCAGGGAGAATCTCTGATACACCAGCCAACCAGGGAGAATCCATCCTACCCTGCTGTAAACATCCATGACTCATCATTAGAGCATGTGCAATGAACAACCAAGTACCTGGGGGGGAAAAGCTATATAGTGTAGAGAATCACTCACCAGGGAGAATCCGAACCCTGCTATAAACATGAATGACTCATCACCAGAGCATGAGCACCAAAACGACTGGTACCACAATGCACCTCTCCCCCCCCAAAAAAAAAGTACCAAAAGCATTTATATGACCAGCTGGAGACTTTTGTCTGTGAATGCTAGCTATACTGTGCAATTCCAACAGAAGTCTCATGTATTTTCTGGTACAGCAGAGCAGGGGGATTGGAGGGAGTCTCCAGAGGAACATCAGGCTCAGTCCCAAATGGCACCCTATTCCATATGTAGTGCACTACTTTTGACCAGAGTCCTATAGGGAATAGGGTGCCAATTGCGACACTGAATCAGTCAAATGGAATGTCAGCCTGTCCCAACAAATGGGGCTCATTGTGTTTCAGATGAAAATAACCGTCCAGAGGGACTGCTTATCAGCGTGAAGCAACCATTACTACAGGGCCTAATGATACTACAGTAGAGTTGGACACTGACTGGGCTCTATGGGGATAGTACTGTTCAACTGTGCCTGACCCTACCAAGAGCCAACAGCACATCATGTATATAGCGGCCCATGTAATGGTAATTGGCATTCAACGGGTAGTTGCAGTTCTGGATTCTGGCCATGTGTATATGATATACCATGGCAAATGTCTGTTTGAGAGTGGCAATATCATCCTGACTGCAGAGATACTTCACCTCCTGTGTGAACGGGCAGGAGAGACATATTTTAGCGCCAGGATTTATACAGATAAATGTCATTTCTCCTCTTCCAGGGACATTCACTCACCCGCTTTGTAGGCTATGGTGTTGGTTTTGGCCACAGACTTCTTGTAGCACAGGTAGACAGAGGAACCCCACTGAAAACAGAGATGGCACGTGTTGTTTGGATTTGAATTACACCACACTCTTTCTTTCCAAACACACTGCCGGGAATCAGTTGAGTAATGTGTTGACAATAGCAGTCGTTAGTGGACCCCGAATTATGACAGGTCAGGGGAGAGGTCAGGGGGAAGGGACAGTGGAGAGGTCAGGGGGAAGGGACAGTGGAGAGGTCAGGGGGGGACAGGGGAGAGGTCAGGGGGAAGGGACAGTGGAGAGGTCAGGGGGAAGGGAACTGGAGAGGTCAGGGGGAGGAGACAGGGAGAGGTCAGGAAGGGACAGTGGAGGGTCAGGGGAGGGGACAGTGGAGAGGTCAGGGGGAAGGGACAGTGGAGAGGTCAGGGGGAGGGACAGTGGAGAGGTCAGGGGGGGAGAGGATCAGGGGGAAGGGACAGTGGAGAGGTCAGGGGGAGGGGACATGGAGTCATGGGGACGGAGAGTCAGGGGAGGGGTGGAGAGGTCAGGGGAAGGGACAGTGGAGAGGTCAGGGGAGGACGTGGGACAGTGGAGAGGGACATGGGAGGAGGACAGTGGAGAGGTCAGGGGAGGGACAGTGGAGAGGTCAGGGGGAGGAGACAGTGGAGAGGTCAGGGGAAGGGACAGTGGAGAGGTCAGGGGAGGGGACAGTGGAGAGGTCAGGGGGAAGGGACAGTGGAGAGGTCAGGGGGAGGGACAGTGGAGAGGTCAGGGAGGAGTGGACAGGGAGGACGAGGTCAGGGGAGGGACAGTGGAGAGGTCAGGGGAGGGACAGTGGAGAGGTCAGGGGAGGGACAGTGGAGAGGTCAGGGGAGGGGACAGTGGAGAGGTCAGGGGGAAGGGACAGTGGAGAGGTCAGGGGAGGGACAGTGGAGTAGGGGAGGTGACAGGGGAGAGGAGGACAGTGGAGAGGTCAGGGGAGGGGACAGTGGAGAGGTCAGGGGGAAGGGACAGTGGAGAGGTCAGGGGAGGGGACAGTGGAGAGGTCAGGGGAAGGGACAGTGGAGAGGTCAGGGGGAAGGGACAGTGGAGAGGTCAGGGGAGGGGACAGTGGAGAGGTCAGGGGGAAGGGAGGCAGTGGAGAGGTCAGGGGGAAGGGAGGCAGTGGGGGGTTTGGTAGAGGAGCGTTTTACAGTAGGGGGTTCCCTCCCTCCCTCCCTCCCTCCCTCCATCTCACCATCCCATCCCTCCCTCCCTCCCTCCCTCCCTCCATCTCACCATCCCATCCCTCCCTCCATCTCACCATCCCTCCCTCCCTCCCTCCATCTCACCATCCCATCCCTCCCTCCATCTCACCATCCCATCCCTCCCTCCCTCCCTCCCTCCATCTCACCATCCCTCCCTCCCTCCATCCATCTCACCATACTGCTGTTGAGGTTCTTGTCCACCTTGCAGAAGGTGTGTGGTGGCGTCTCTCCCTTGCCGGGGATGATGACACAGATGTCTGTGACGGCCAGGGCAGCATAGGTCTGGCTCTCCGTGGCGCGGCGATACGTCACGTAGATCCTCTGGGAGGAAGTGGAGCTTATGTTGGCAGGGCGTCCGGATGGCGTGGTCTGGATGATGTGGCAGCCCTGCTTCAACCGCTCCTTCCACTCATACAGAACACTGGGAGGAGGAGAGGAATCCGTCATTTAGCTACGACCCTGACCCCTAACCTCTAACCCCTAACCCTGACCCTGACCCTGCTTCAACCGCTCCTTCCACTCATACAGAACACTGGGAGGAGGATAGGAATCCGTCATTTAGCTACGACCCTGACCCCTAACCTCTAACCCCTAACCCTGACCCTGACCCTGCTTCAACCACTCCTTCCACTCATACAGAACACTGGGAGGAGGAGAGGAATCCGTCATTTAGCTACGACCCTGACCCCTAACCTCTAACCCCTAACCCTGACCCTGACCCTGCTTCAACCTCTCCTTCCACTCATACAACACCCTGATCTCTGAGAAAGGAAGCTCATTTATTGCATCCAAATTGGCCATTTTTTAATTTATAGGATTCGTATTATATTCAATAAATATAGTACCTAACATCTGATTTGGACCAAACTTTTTTTCTAACAATGAGTTAGACATGAGGAATCCAAAGGAATGGTCAAAAGCCACCCACGGACACCCCACACCAATCCCACCCCAACAATGAGTATAGTTTTTTTACCCCCGTACTCATTGTTGGGGGGGATTTCTACAAAATAATGCAGGAATGCTAATCTTATCTGTTTCTAACTACAGAAACGATATCAGAACAATCTGAGATGGTGGGTGTCATGTCTTGCTGAAATTACACGGGATGACCCTCTACTAATAAAACGCCTGGGAGACGGACAGGAGATTGTCAACGTGGAATTCATCATTTTTCTACTGGAGACAACTCTGAAGGCTTTGGAGCAAGAAGTTTGGATGGCGCTGAAAAAAAAAAACCAGTCCTGTTGTTTGAGGTCATTGTAACCAACAATACAGAGACCCCTCCTCCATTCTGTTAGTTGTTATTTCCCCCTCACTTCACCCAGGTCACACTGTGACCTTCAGTGGCTTAGCCTTCACTGCAACACAACAGAGATCCTTTCAGGCTAAAAACAAGACGTTGAAACGTGTTCTGCTGATCATAATATTTACCATTCGGCTAGCTAAAACCTCTCCAAACGAAGAAGGTCGGAGCAAGGGCCAATTCCCATTAGCTCTGTAGGGTCAACAGCGTGGGCAAAGATGGTTTCCATAGTAACCACGCTGTTTATCAATGGTTTACTGCCAGAAGGTGACTCACTTACTGGCTCTAAAGGCTGATGTTGTCACTGAGACAGGACAGGACTCTGACTGTGACAGGACAGGACTGAGACAGGACACTGACTGAGACAGGACAACTCTGCCTAGAAGGTCAGCATCCTGGAGTCACCTCTTCACTGTTGACGTTGAGACTGGTGTTTTGCGGGTACTATTTATTGAAGCTGCCAGTTGAGGACCTGTGAGGCAACGGTTTCTCAAACTAGACACTCTAATGTACTTGTCCTCTTGCTCAGTTGTGCACCGGGGCCTCCCACTCCTCTTTCTATTCTGGTTAGAGCCAGTTTGCGCTGTTCTGTGAAGGGAGTAGTACACAGTGCTGTACAAGATCTTCAGTTTCTTGGCAATTTCTCGCATGGAATAGCCTTCATTTCTTAGAACAAGAATAGACTGACGAGTTTCGGAAGAAAGTTATTTGTTTCTGGCCATTTTGAGCCTGTAAATCGAACCCACAATTGCTGATGCTCCAGATACTCAACTAGTCTCAAGACGGCCAGTTTTATTGCTTCTTTAATCAGCACAACAGTTTTCAGCTGTGCTAACATAATTACAAAAGGGTTTTCTAATGATCAATTAGCCTTTTAAAATGATAAACTTGGATTAGCAAACACAATGTGCCATTGGAACACAGGACTGATGGTTGCTGATAATGGGCCTCTGTACGCCTATGTAGATATTCCATTATTTTTTAATTTTTTTTAATCAGCCGTTCCCAGCTACAATAGCCATTTAAAACATTAACAATGTCTACACTGTATTTCAGATAATTTGATGTTATTTTAAATGGACGAGAAAATTGCTTTTCTTTTGAAAACAAGGACATTTCTAAGTGACCCCAAACTTTTGAACGGTAGTGTATATCAGGAGATGACCCTGAGAGGCTCGGTGTCTCCAGTAAGCCCCTCTGATAAGCACTGAACTCTGCTGTGTCACTAGACACTCAGTCCTGTCACCACCACCTCTCAGTCAGAGGGGTGTCCCATCGGGCGGCGCACAATTGTCGCAGCGTCGTCCGGGTTTGGCCGGTGTAGGCCGTCATTGTAAATAACAATTTGTTCTTAACTGACTTGCCTAGTTAAATAAAAGGTTAAATTAAAACAATTTAAAAAATTAACCAGCCCGGCTATAGTTGGATCTCCTCTCAGTCACTAAAGCTATCTTGATTTCCTCTAACTGAGGAAGTGTAAGTGATCTACATCTACCTACCCCGGCTCATAACTCCCCAAGGTCATACCTACCCCGGCTCATAACGACCCCAGCTCATAACTACCATGGCTCATAACTCCCCAAGGTCATACCTACCCCGGCTCATAACTACCATGGCTCATAACTCCCCAAGGTCATACCTACCCCAGCTCATAACTACCGCAGGCCATAACTACCATGGCTCATAACTCCCCAAGGTCATACCTACCCCGGCTCATAACTACCATGGCTCATAACTACCCACGGTCATACCTACCCCAGGTCTGTGAGTGGTGGTTTGTCCCGTCCTCGTCTGTAACACAGGAAGATCTGTGGCGCCATGAGGCTTCCATTGTTCAGGTCAGCTGACAGGCCGGACGGCGTGGAGTCCACGCACGTGTACCCAGGAGGCACCTCTTCCCCCAGCGAACGCATCACCACAGCGACGTCGGTGATGGGTGGCTTGGGTTTGGCCGTCTTGTGGCAGACATCGTGGAAGTGGATCTCCTGCTCCAGTGGCGTGGAGGAGTCGGTCAGACCGGCCAGCACGAAGTAGTCTGCTACACGAGGTCCCTTGTCCTCCATCTCCCATCACTGGGTAGGTCTGGAGGAGAGAGAGAGAGAGAGTGAAAAAGAGAGAAATTACTTACATTTTATGGAATACCATGTTGGATATCTGTACCTTAACAAGCTGACCACAGAACATTGTGTTGAACCCCAGGCAGACACAGCCAGGACAAAGCTGATTGTCTTTCAGCCTGCATTGTCTCACAGCCAGGGAAAAAGTGATGATGATGTGTAATAGGAGAGGAAGGATCTCTCTCTCTCTCTCTCTCTCACACACACACACACACACACACACACACACACACACACACAGCCAACACATTTAGCCACATGTAGGATAACACACCCAGGCTAATTATCCCCTCCTCTCCACACCCTCTGACTCCATCTGCCTGGCATCACTAGCCTTCATCACGCTGACTACAGTTGAATTATTTAGAAATTAAATAAACAGAGCGAGACTCCACAATCCCACATTAGAAATCTGTTTCTAATAAAACACAGATTCCTCTGGAGAGAGAGTCTGGTAAATGAAAATGAAACACGCCTGGTTGAGAACATGGCTGGAACATCAACATGCCCGTCTCTCCAGAAAATTGTTTGACATTTTCCAGATAAAAAAAAAACAAACATACATGTGGGACACATTAGACTACAATTTAAATCATGTCCAATTTAGATGTGCACAGTGCAGGTAGGCTAGGTATTCCTCTGATCTCTGATCTACAACCTGTATGAAGTCCAAGGCATGGGTTCCTGCTGTGGAACTGAACAGCAGCAGAGGAGAGGAGGGGAGAGGGGAAGGGAGAAATGACAGCCTGCTCTCCCAGGGTTCAGCTCTGTGTGTCAGGGTGTTGACTGATGACTCTGGTTTAGTGAAGAAAAATAAAAAAGACTTGTGGTCCTCTGTAGCTCAGCTGGTAGAGCACGGCGCTTGTAACGCCAAGGTAGTGGGTTCGATCCCCGGGACCACCCATACACAAAAATGTATGCACGCATGACTGTAAGTCGCTTTGGATAAAAGCGTCTGCTAAATGGCATATTATTTATTATTTATTACTGAAATCTAACACCAGTCTGACACCACCACACCCCAACGACAGCTATATAACATGACAGGCACCACTAGGTCCAGACACCAGTTGACTGTGTACCTTGGCCGTAATAGTTTCAGCAGTCCACACATCCTTTACATCAGTTCTCTTTACCTTCAGTGTTTTACTGTTGACTGAGAAGACACGTAACTACTGTTCTGCCTTGTTCAGCTCTTGAAAAGGAAGCTAGATGTCACCAGCCTTGTAATCTACAGGTTTTATGTCCTCACAGCGTATAATTAGTCTGGAATGCTAAATTGGAAGACAACCGCACACCTCTCTTCACTCCTCTCCTCTCTTCAATCACACTGTGGTTCACATTAACAATAGTATCTGGTAGATTATTGTAGCTAGCACTCTCCTTCTGTCAATCAGCATTGCTGTAGCCAGCCTTCCATCCTATCTGTAGCTAAAGCTATCTGGGTGAGCCTATCTGTAGCCAGCCTCCTCCTACTCATATCTGTAGCCAGCCTTCTCCTATCTGTAGCTAGCCTTCTCCTATCTGTAGCTAGCCTCCTCCTATCTGTAGCTAGCCTTCTCCTATATGTAGCTAGCCTTCTCCTATCTGTAGCTAGCCTTCTCCTATACTGCAGCTAGCCTTCTCCTATCTGTAGCTAGCCTCTCCTATCTGTAACTAGCCTTCTCCTTACCATTCTTATATTGTTGATGTCCTCTGTCTACCTCCTCTCCTCTCAGAGATGGGCCAGGGAGAGGAGAGAATACTACTCACCCTGGCCATGCTGTCTCTGTGTGTGTCTCTGTGTGTGTGTCTGTGTCTGTGTCTGTGTGTGTGTGTGTGTGTGTGTGTGTGTGCCTGCTACAAATACAGCTATCCCTGCCTCTGGGAGGGCCCGAGAGTGGGAGATTTTTAGTGGAGAAAAGGCCTTCAGTTCTCCATCAGATCCGCTACAGTCCATTTATGTAAGCTCTCTTTCTCTATCCCTTTCTCCCTCTTGGCCACCTTTTTGGTTCTGATTTGGAGAATCCTTTACCTGGCCGTGAAGGTGAGAGAGAGAGGATACTGTCCTTTACCTGGCCGTGAAGGTAAGAGAGAGAGGATACTGTCCTTTACCTGGCCGTGAAGGTGAGAGAGAGAGGATACTGTCCTTTACCTGGCCGTGAAGGTGAGAGAGAGAGGATACCTTGTCCTTTACCTGGCCGACAAGCCTAACAGAGTTGACAAGAAAACACAGTGACAAGCCTAACAGAGTTGACAAGAAAACACAGTGACAAGCCTAAGAGTTGACTAGCCTAATAGAGTTGACAACCCTAACAGAGTTGACTTCCCTAACAGAGTTGACTTCCCTAACAGAGCTGACAACCCTAACAGAGCTGACAACCCTAACAGAGCTGACAACCCTAACAGAGCTGACAACCCTAACAGAGTTGACAAGAAAACACAGTGACAAGCCTAACAGAGCCGACTTCCCTAACAGAGCTGACAACCCTAACAGAGCTGACAACCCTAACAGAGCTGACAACCCTAACAGAGCTGACAACCCTAACAGAGCTGACAACCCTAACAGAGCTGACAACCCTAACAGAGCTGACAAGCCTAACAGAGTTGTTAAAGCTTAACAGAGTTGACAAGACAGACAAACCCAAACAGATGTGGGACCAGGCTAGCATGAAATGGCATGACATTTAAATGCAGTAGCTCTTTCACAACTGCTCAAGACAGTTCCATCTTGAGATATGGACGACGTACTGTTGTCATATAGACCTATCCATGTGGCTTCCAGCAACACAGACACAAGACAGACACATTACCAAGTGTCTGTCTGGACAGCAACGATCAGATCACGGCTCATTTGACCAACCCTAATGGGGATGTGAAATACTAATGAATTCCAAGTCACTGCTAACGGGTTCCAAGACAGACAATCAGAACTATGACTCCCAGGTTGCGTCCCAAATGGCACCCTATCCCAATGACTTGAAGCCAAAAGAAGTCGGTTAAGATGGCCTCACATGGACACATAACATGTGCAGTTTTAGCTACTCCAGGAAGTGACGTTACAGGCTAGCTCAGTGCTGCCCCCTCTCATTGGGTACCTCAAGTTACCCTCCTCTGTAGCTCAGCTGGTAGAGCACGGCGCTTGTAACGCCAAGGTAGTGGGTTCGATCCCCGGGACCACCCATACACAAAAATGTATGCACGCATGACTGTAAGTCGCTTTGGATAAAAGCGTCTGCTAAATGGCATATTATATTATTATTATATTATTATAAGTTGAACTCAGTCGTTCTCCCCTGCCCTATCCCCTATATAGTGCACTACTTTTGACCAAGGCCCATAGGGCTCTGGTCAAAAGTAGTGCACTGTATAGGGAATATGGTGTCGTTTGGGACGTAGTCACAGTCTCACACTAAGACAACAGGGTTCAGTAATACAGTACAATAATACAAGCTAATCCATCTCCATTCCTGGCTGCCAGACCAAACCTAGAGGAACTAAAGGTCTGTAGGTCTAGGGGCTGCCCTCCTCTCTGGTAGACCAAACCTAGAGGAACTAAAGGTCTGTAGGTCTAGGGGCTGCCCTCCTCTCTGGTAGACCAAACCTAGAGGAACTAAAGGTCTGTAGGTCTAGGGGCTGCCCTCCTGGCTGCCAGACCAAACCTAGAGGAACTAAAGGTCTGTAGGTCTAGGGGCTGCCCTCCTCTCTGGTAGACCAAACCTAGAGGAACTAAAGGTCTGTAGGTCTAGGGGCTTCCCTCCTGGCTGCCAGACCAAACCTAGAGGAACTAAAGGTCTGTAGGTCTAGGGGCTGCCCTCCTCTCTGGTAGACCAAACCTAGAGGAACTCTAAAGGTCTGTAGGTCTAGGGGCTTCCCTCCTCTCTGGTAGACCAAACCTAGAGGAACTCTAAAGGTCTGTAGGTCTAGGGGCCGCCCTCCTGGCTGCCAGACCAAACCTAGAGGAACTAAAGGTCTGTAGGTCTAGGGGCTGCCCTCCTGGCTGCCAGACCAAACCTAGAGGAACTAAAGGTCTGTAGGTCTAGGGGCTGCCCTCCTCGCTGCCAGACCAAACCTAGAGGAACTAAAGGTCTGTAGGTCTAGGGGCTTCCCTCCTGGCTGCCAGACCAAACCTAGAGGAACTAAAGGTCTGTAGGTCTAGGGGCTGCCCTCCTCTCTGGTAGACCAAACCTAGAGGAACTAAAGGTCTGTAGGTCTAGGGGCTTCCCTCCTGGCTGCCAGACCAAACCTAGAGGAACTAAAGGTCTGTAGGTCTAGGGGCTGCTCTCCTGGCTGCCAGACCAAACCTAGAGGAACTAAAGGTCTGTAGGTCTAGGGGCTGCCCTCCTGGCTGCCAGACCAAACCTAGAGGAACTAAAGGTCTGTAGGTCTAGGGGCTGCCCTCCTCTCTGGTAGACCAAACCTAGAGGAACTAAAGGTCTGTAGGTCTAGGGGCTGCCCTCCTGGCTTCCAGACCAAACCTAGAGGAACTAAAGGTCTGTAGGTCTAGGGGCCGCCCTCCTGGCTGCCAGACCAAACCTAGAGGAACTAAAGGTCTGTAGGTCTAGGGGCTGCCCTCCTCTCTGGTAGACCAAACCTAGAGGAACTAAAGGTCTGTAGGTCTAGGGGCTGCCCTCCTGGCTGCCAGACCAAACCTAGAGGAACTAAAGGTCTGTAGGTCTAGGGGCTGCCCTCCTGGCTGCCAGACCAAACCTAGAGGAACTAAAGGTCTGTAGGTCTAGGGGCTGCTCTCCTGGCTGCCAGACCAAACCTAGAGGAACTAAAGGTCTGTAGGTCTAGGGGCTGCCCTCCTGGCTGCCAGACCAAACCTAGAGGAACTAAAGGTCTGTAGGTCTAGGGGCTGCCCTCCTGGCTGCCAGACCAAACCTAGAGGAACTAAAGGTCTGTAGGTCTAGGGGCTGCCCCCCTGGCTGCCAGACCAAACCTAGAGGAACTAAAGGTCTTTAGGT